TGCCTCTAAGATCACCCAAGAAGTCTCCCACTCGACAACGCTAATAATCATAATATCACACGAACACGATCAAGTGGTCTACCCTCCATTGATTATCAAAGGCCCATCCCCTGTCTACCTTTGCAATCACTCCAAAAGTATCACCCGCGATGTCAAAATATATCACATGAGCATGCCGCAGTACCCTAGTAGTGGTCAATAAAACATTTATATGGAAAACTCAATTTGAAACCATGTTTCACATGTTGAATTTTCAACCATGATCATATGTGGTGCATGTAGATGAAAATGCTTATGAATGCATGCTTAATAAAAATCAGTATCAATGGGTTCCACAACTACATACTCAATAATCATAACCATCATATGATATAAATGAGCCTCTTACTAAAGTTAGTAAATATTCCAACATTACTTTGTCACAGATATTCAATTTTTGTATCATAGCTGCAATTAAAATTTTACTTACATTTTGCCCTTGTGTGTGCAAGCTCCTACGGAGATTGGATCATTTTTTTTTTCACTTAACGTTGGAAAGTCTCCTGTATTACCATTTAATAATAAAGACGGTCCTCAATTTAATAGTCTTAATACACACAATCCCAAAACACATCCATTCACATCAAAATAATTTAAACGAATTCATCATTTCAAGTTACTAACGGCATTACAATCTTGTCACATAAATCACGATATTTTTCGAGTCCAATTATGAACATCAACGTCATCCAATTGTTGTCAACAACCTAACACTCCTTAGAATCTATTTTCTAGGCCCAAGAGATAATTGATTGACATGTAAATGTTGAAATCACATTAAACACACAAATGGACAAAACCTGTTTTCAGATTTCCATTCCTGTCCAATTATTTTTTCAATCCTTTCTCACCCATTTATCTATATACGATACGACTCCCAAATTTTTATCACACTTCTACAACACGTATGTGAAGCTAATTATGCTCTATATTTGTAACAAGTGAAGTTTTTTTAGCCTCAAAAATCGTCCCTTTTTCACCACATCAAATCAGGAAGTTTTGTTTTCCATGTGACAGTTTTCGATTTCCCATTGTATTATTATGCCATCAATAGAATTCTAGACCATTAAAGATCACTTCTATTCTTCATGGTTGCATATAAAAACATGAATATTGATATATATAAGTTATACTCTAAGTATCATCTAAAATCAAGTTTGAAATCATTCAAAACCAGCAACCTACCTCTGTCCAGGTTGTTTTCTTTCAAATTCTTGTTATTAATTGCCCCTATTTTACCATCATAAAATCATCAAAACCTCCCACCTAATTTCAAGAAAGTTCAGAATTTGGATAGGTTATAAAACACCAAAAAGAACAAAGGAAAGATTTCAAAACCGTGAGTTGAACTAACATGCTCAAACTGCAATTCCAATTTCTTGTTTTTCTATTTCTCTTTGCTTCCTTTGCTCTCTCTTTCTCTCAGGGTCACTTGGGGATAAATTTGGAGGGTTGAATATCTTATTTAAGAGATATATAAGTAATCTTGAAGATTGGGGTCGTGAGTGATACTTAAGGGTGAAGAAAATTGTGGTTGAAGGACAAGTGAACTTAAGCATAAGCTATCCAAGCAAGATATGGATTTATGCAGCCAACTTTGACCTTTCCCTTATCTTATATGGAGTCATATGTGTCTTAGAAGATGTATATCTATCCAATATATAGTGATAATGGTTTAGAAGACGTGTTGGAGGCCTTAAGGTCGAAGGAATTAAATGTTAGATTGACAAGTCCTCACAAGGTAAGTAGGAGGTGTCTCTTTTGCTGCAATCTTTGACTTTCTTACTGTTATATTTGGATCTATTTATGATTTATAAGATATATGTTCATCCTATATTAAGTACTTAAGGGATAGGACACGAGGTTGATGCCTTAAGGTTAAAGGAATTAGGTATTAAAATGACAAATATTTCAAGCATGAGGTGATCACTAGTTAACAAAAAAAAAAAAAATAATAATAATAATAATAATAATAATAATAATAAATCTAATTTTATATCTATCTTTACAGGTATAAATCAAGTATATTTGGCTTATGTTGATGTTCTTACAATCCATTTCACTTGCCCTAAGATCCCAAAATATTTTATAGAGATAATTCTTCAACCGTTCATTTAATTACTTACCCGATTGATACCCGATTTTCGAACGATTTCAACAATTTGCACCTTGATATTTATAACATTATATGAAACATATATTATTACATCGTGATCATGTCACTTCATGCCTAATGTCCCAAATATGTCAATTGCTTACCTAGGGTTTAAGGGGACCTTGATCAATCAAATGGAAAGCTTGAACTTTTGTCGATATTAATTTCCTGTCTTTTTGATATTTCATTACTTACTAAGCCAATTTTCAACATTTTAACAAATATTCTTTTTATTGATGAGGTCAAATCTAAAGCAAGTTATTTATTTTGATTATAACATCTGTTGACGTCAAAATTAGCAAGAATAATTTTGAACCAACTTTAAGAAAAAAAGTGATTTATGCTTGAAAAAGACCACAAAAATGTCATTTCTGTGTGATTATGCCATAAGTCGTTATCTGAACTCACTCTTTTTTTTAAAGAGTCTTATTCAACTATTTATACATAGTTTCAGCCGACATTACATTAAATCAATCAAATCAGCAACAGTGTCGTGCTCGGAACTCGGGTCGCCAAATTCTCCTGTGATTGGCCGATGAGGCCGGTGGTCATGTGTCAATGTATTACCCAGGTAATGATGACCTGTAAGGGGTTGCAGTTTGAGGACTTGGAATTGGTTGTTCCGGGCGACGATGACGTCACCTGTGGTAAGTGTATCTGATTGATAGGGTGATGTGATAAGGGATAATTATGATGTTTTCCTGAGATAACGGCGGCTATGTCTGCCCTGGGAGTATAGGCCGAAATTATATTTAACTGAGGTGGGATTAGCAAATATTTTTATTAGGTCGAAGTTCGGATGTCAACAGTTAATCCCCAGGTAAACTCTACCGTAGGGGGGCCTGACCTCAGTGATGCTTTCTCCAAGAAGTACATTTATTGCTGTGACAAGTGTCATCTTTTGAGGTGGATGAGCTGTACGCCATTTATAAGTAGCTTCTTCAGCAAGCTTTGGCTAAAACTACGTTGTTTTGTTTCTTAAGCTTTTGAGCCGTTGATTTTTCCCTCAATTTCTAGACGAACGGTTCAAATCGCACCCTATCAGCTTCTCTTTCTTTAAATTCCTTTTTGGTCAATCATTTCTCCTCCTATTTCGCTGGTTTTACTTTCTCAAATATTTGGCCAATTTCCTGAGTTCGTATTCGAGTGAGGTCGTTTTCCCAGTTCGTTTCCCAGGTATTCTTCTATTCTTATCTGCTTCTTCCTTTCAATTTATGCTTTGTTTCCTAGTTTATACATGAGTTCGGACGAGTCTAGAGTTCATTCCTGGGGCAACCAGCAGGAAGAGTCAGTTTCCTTCTCGACGAGTTCGTCTTCTAGTTGTAGGAATGTTTTTACCCTTGTTCCTATTTCCATAATTAACAGGATCGACTTAGGGCATCCTGTCATGGACTTAGGATGTGAGGGTTCCAAGGGAGCAGGTAGATCCGGTAAGGATGTTCGGAGTGGGGGGCGAATTCTTATAGGTCGGTTGTGATAGGGGATGTGTTAGCCAGCTGGCGAGCTAAATACGCCATTCCTAGTTCGGTAGTGATGATAATACCAGAACCATCTGACTGGCCTGATGCTCTTCCTGAGGGATGTGTTGCTCTGAACTCAACTATCCTTCATGCCGGCCTATGGCTTCCCTTTCCTAGGGCGATTCGTACATTCCTTTCTTCCTGGGGCATAGCTCCCACGCAGCTATGCCCTAACGGGTGGTGAACCTTAATAGCCACCCTTATTCTGTGGAACCAAATGGGGAATCCCGAGCTAAGTGTCCAGCAGTTCAATTCTCTGTTTACTTTTAAGGAGGATAGGAAGAACTCGGGTTGGTGGTACACAAGTGTTAGGCCCATGACGAGAGGTTCTCTGGTGTTAGATACCCCTTCCTCAATTAAGAAGTGGAAGGAAGAGTGGTTCTATGTATCGGGGGAGTGGTAGTTTCATTCTGCTGGGGTGAATAGGGAGGACGTGGTCCCCAGGCTCTATCATTCTTTATGTAAGTGTCTTTTTGGACTTTAATCTTTTAGTAAGGCATATGTTGACGAAGTACTGACCTCGGTATTTTTCCTTTGTGCAGATTACAAGAAGGAGACGTTAACCAAATATACACAAAGGCGAGCTGAGGTAATAAGATCATTACCTAAAAAGCAAAGGTCCTATAAGTTTGTGATCTCAGGTTTGAACTTATATCGTACCGGTTTGTTGCAAGTACGAGCTTCAAGTTCGGCTCCATCCAGTTCAGGTACTGTTTTGACCCTCATTCGCGGTTGTAGTTTCTTTATGTATATACATGTTTATTGAGCATTTCACTATTTTCCCAGATCATCAGGACGAGATGCAGGGCTACAAGGCAGCAAAGGTGACAACTGCGGCCAAAGAAAAGAAGAGAGAAGTCCCAGAATGGTTGGAGAGCCGTTCTGAAGAAGTGGAGGAGGAGGTTCCATTGAGGAACCGACCTACGCCCCCGGCAGCACTGAGAATTCCTGAGGTAGTGCCGTTATCGAGCCCTTCTTTGCCTTTTCCAGCTGCCCCTTCTACTTTTGGGACCAATTTTGCAAACTTGCAGGATAGGGGCCCAGATTTACAGAGGCCGAGCTGGGAAAGTTTGGTGGGACATAGATCAGAAATATTTTTGGATTATCTCTGAGTTCTTTCTCCTTCCAGGGGAATGACTGCCGCACTCACTTCACCTTTGAGGGAGTCGGCCAATCTGCTTACCCAGAGCTTGGGTGAGAAAGAGCAGGGCTATCTAAATTAGATGTCCATTGGTGAGGCCTTGATCACTGCTCAGCTCTATGGCCACTGATCAGTTTTATACATGATGGCAGTGACGGATAAGGTATACTTCTTACTTGATTTTTGATCAATTTTATAACTATTTTAATGACTTACTTGATTTTTTATTTTTGAAAAATAGGTGAAGTTCGAGCTGGACAAACTCATAGAGGCAAAGGATCAGGCCTTCAATCTTTATAACAGCATGGAGGCTGAAAAGGCCCAGTTCATTCTGAGGAAGAAGGAGTATGAAGAGAAGCTGAATCGGATGGGGATCGAGCTAAACTCCAGGCACGATGTCGAGGAGAGATTGATGGGAGAGATCAAGGCATTGAGGGCCTCGGAGGAAGAGGCCAGAGCTCGAGCAGAAGAAGAGCGCGGCAAAGTCAGAGAGGCCATCCAGAAGGTACAAAAGGCCAACGAAAGGGCAAGGCAGGCCACCAAAAGGGTTGAAGAGTTTGAGGCTAAGGTTGACAGAGCGGTGAAGGCCTGGCAGGAGTCCTCCGAGTTTGACGTCGTAGCCCAGGATGTCTACGTTGTAGCCCTGGAGGAGCTGGTAGGGCACATCAGGAATGAGAGGACTGATATTGATGTGGCCTTTCTGGATGAGGCACTAGAGGGGCAGAAGGAAGAGCTGCGAAGGTTGTCTGAGTTTGCTAGAGTCCGGGTATTATCGACAACTCAGGATGTTGAAGATATTACCCCAGCCCCTCAAGACCCTTAATCGGTTAAAAATATTATTTTTTGGTATTTAGTTTTGCACTATGTTTTTGGCTTATGAATGAACTTTATTTTAACTTTTTTATGACATTTTGTTTGGAATGGATAATTGTTTTATGACAATGACTCACAAACTTAGCTAAATTTGTAAGAGCATTACAATAGCATGTAGAATTACCTTGAATGAATTGTACTTAGTTGTACAATAATTCCTTTCCAAACCAGGCTTATGCATTGAAATTTTTTTACTAAGTGTAGTACATTTTTACCAAGTGTAGTACCACGTACGGCCTTAGCTCGTCGTGCGTATAGGGCAAGACTTTATAAGATTCCTTAGGAGAAATTTTTTTCACTAAGTGTCGCAGCACATACGACCTTAGATCGGCCTGCGTATGGAGCAGGACTTTATGAGATTCCTTAGGAGTTTTATGAGATTTTTGGGCTGCCTTCGAATTTCAAGGAGCTCTAACTGACATTCAGATAAGGAATAAAGCTTCAGTAGACAAGTTGGTGATTGTCAAGGATGAATTGAAAGGAATAAAAGCCAAAGCTGAAGCGATGAGGGCCCAACAAGTTGAAGATGTGGCTAAATTGGATTCTGCCTTAGCCAAAATAGAAGCTCTGAAGAGGAAAGTACACGAGTTCAGTGCAAGGTAGCCTCCTTAACAAAGAATGTGGAGACCTCAAACAATCATCAGAAGCTTATTGCAGAGGCTCTGGAGAAAGCAAACTTAGAGCTCACTAGGCTCAAAGATTCGAATTAATCTAATGAAGACCAAATAAAGCACTATGTACAGGAGGCTGAGAAAGCCAAGGTTGAGACTCCACTGGCGATTGATGTGGCTGTGAAGGACTACATCGCTAACTTCCACCTCACAAAAGAGTATTAAAGCTTCCCCACATATTAGAGGAGGTTTGACTACGCCAAAATAATGGAACAGATGGAAGAACTTTTTCCAGAACTAAACACAGCTGAGCTAAGGGTAGAATATTTGGATGAATTGCTCAAATTCCAGCTGAGGCGGTAGTTGAAGGACAAGTGGACCAGAAGGATCTTGAGAAAGAAACTTCAACTTAAGCACCTGCTAAGGCATTGAAGCCTCAACCACCTCTGGCATAGTGTAGAATTTTTTATTTTCCTTCTGTAGTGGCTTCGGCTCTCTATTATAAATGCTTCATTAATGAAATGAATGTTCTTGTTCCTTCATTCCACTGTACTTCATTGTCCATTTTTTGCAATTTCTAATGCAGTACTTAACTTGCACATTTCTCCCTTACCTTCAAGGCTTAACTCTACGTCTAATCAACCTTAATAACTTAACCAATCTTTGAGATTAAGATTTTATACCTTAAATAATGAACTATTTCATTTGCGTTATGTATTACTTTATTCAATTGTATCGACTTCATTTGAACAATCGATTAACTCAACCAATAACAAACTGTTTATTGAAACATTTCAACTTAACTTCAAAAATACGTGTAATTTGGTTTAATGAAAGACTCATAACGTACACCTCAAAAACGCAATGAGATAGTTCCTTTACATGGTGGATGGATAATCCATGTAAAGGCTTCTCACTTGACTTTCAGCTTCGTCAAGACGAGGCATGTAATGTACGTCTTGGAGTGCACATGAGGTGATCCCCATTTGAGAGATATGATCTTGTCCTTCTAGGTACCCACGCTTCCTTACATGACGGATGGTTCATTCATGTAAAGGCTTCTTGCTTAACGTTCAGTTTCATCGAGACGAGGCGTGTGATTACACTTTGAAGTGCAAAGAAGGTTATCCCTTTTTGAAATCTGGTCTTCTCCTCCGAAGCATCCATGCTTCTTTACATTGTCAATGGTTTATCCATGTAAAGGCTTTTCCTTAATGTTCGACTTCGCGAAAATAAGGCACGTGATGTACGCCTCAGAGTGCAAACGGGGTGATCCCCTTTTGAGATTCGATTCTCTCCTTCAAGGCGCCCACGCTTCTTTACATAGTAGATGGCTCATCCATATAAAAGTTTCTTCCTTGACGTTCAATTTCGTTAAGACCAGGCATGTGATATATCCTTCGGAGAGCAAACGATGTGATCTCCCTTTTGAGATTTGATCCTCTCCTCCGAGGATCCCAAGCTTCTTTATATGGTAGATGGTTAATCTATATGAAGGCTTTTCCTTTAGCGTTTAGCTTCGTCAAGATGAGGCATGTGATATTTTCCTTTGAGTACAAATGAGGTGATCCCCTTTTGAGACCTATTCCTCTCATTCGAGGTGTCCACACGTTTAACGAAATAGGTCTCTCTTCTTTTAGATGCTTTTAAATAGAACATTTATTTATTTATTTATTTATTTACATTCAAAAGTTTTACAAGGACTGAATAAGATCTTTCTGCCATAAGCTACATTCATTGATTGTACGTTCTCAAATGTTCCATGTTCCATAGATGAGGCTGTACCTTTCATCCATATCTTCAATCCAATAAATGCTAGATTGGACCTCTTCCTTGATGCGGTATGGGCCTTCTTAGTTCAGACCCGAAGTGTTTATTTCTGGCTCCTTGGAGGATAGAAATACTCTCCAAAGCACTAGATCATTTATCCGATAGAAATTTCTTTTGACTTTTTCATTGTAATAGCGGGTCATTTTCCTTTGATATACAGCCAACTTCAACTGGGAGTTATCTTTTTTTCATCGAGAAAATATAGCTCCGATCTTCTAAGCTCATCATTTGATATTTTACTAAGTACAATCTAAGTGGAGAAGGTAAACCATCCTCTATCGGGCTCATAGCCTCAGCACCATACGCCATTGAAAATGGAGTTTTTTTCATTGGAGTTTCGATGGTAATTCAGATAGCCCTTAATACTTGCGGAAGCTCATCAACCCATGCTCTTTTGGAAGCGTTGAGCTTTCATTTCGGAGTGTGTTTTGTAGTTTTGTTCACGGCCACAACTTACCAATTTGCCTAGGGATGAAATGGTCTAGGATCTTTATGTAGGTTGTCCTTGGCTATAGAGAGCTTCGGACTTTGTGGAACCTTATTGCCTCAGAACTCCGGCTCTAGCGAAAGAGACACGAATGGCCCTTGGACTAATCTCTCAGGCATGTTGCTTGTGTGGAAAGCTTCGTGGAAGTGGCTTCAATACTTTGAGTAGGTTAGTTGCTTGACCAAAGAGCCTCGGTGGTAGGCCACGTGGACAAGAAGGCCCCGGTGATGTAGAGCCATGTAATAACACTTTGTATATGGCACAAGTCATGTATAATGATGATCAATAGAACGCATTGAATATGCACAATACAACATTGTTTAGTAATATATAACCCAAGAAGGAGTGAGGTTATGATTGTCAAATTACATTTACCACTTGAATGTTAGATCTTTGTACATGTAAGATGGAATTGCATTGGTCTTTACACTTTTGTGAGAGGGTTCTTTTAGTGTTGAAGCAAATGTGTCATCGGGAAAAAAAGGTAATAAAAATGGTGATGGGACGTGAAATTTATCTCTGTGTCTGTGTTGGGTTAGTGGGTGTTGTGTACGAAAATATTTGCTTTTTTCAATTTTGAAGGGCTTCTTAGTAAGTTTTCTTGTTTGGTTAGGAAGAGTTTATTCGTATCAATCTATAACATAATGTGTCTTTTGATATTCGCCTTCTCTATACTAAAAAATTAATAATAGTTCAACAAGTTTTATGATATATAATTACCTCAGACTCAAAATCCCATTATGCAGAAAATAGGATTTGGCCTATTTGGGTGAACATAGACCACATTTTTAGTTGGATAAATAGTACATCCACATTAGTGGACAATAGCATTTCATCATTTGCGCATTTATATCAATTTAATTTAATTTTACATATGTAGTCATTTATAGTTTTGTGGGAGCTGTAGTCATTTTTATTCATTTTGTTTCTCCTATGAGTTTATTGCTACTACTTTGTTAACTTCAATGTGTAACATCGTAGGTCATCGAGGGACCCCATCGTTCCATTTTTTGCTCCATTTGTAAACTTTAATTCTCTATATTTTTCGATTTTGTGACTATTGCTTGGATTTAATTTAAATTACCTGGATTTTATTGCAAGTCCATGTTGGGGTCCTTGTTAGTATCGAATACGTCTACATATTCGTGATTAAGGTTCATACATTTTTTGGTTTTGAAAATTTTGCTTATTTTGTAAAACGATAGTCTGATTGTGGATTGAAGTTTGTTTATTCATTTTTCATTGTAGAATATGATTACTTGATATATGAGAGGGTTCTTTTAGTGTTGAAGCAAATGTGCCATCGGGAAAAAAAGGTAATAAAAATGGTGATGGGAATTTTTTCTCTCAAACATTGACGTGAAATTTATCTCTGTGTCTGTGTTGGGTTAGTGGGTGTTGTGTACGAAAATATTTGCTTTTTTCAATTTTGAAGGGCTTCTTAGTAAGTTTTCTTGTTTGGTTAGGAAGAGTTTATTCGTATCAATCTATAACATAATGTGTTTTGATATTCGCCTTCTCTATACTAAAAAATTAATAATAGTTCAACAAGTTTTATGATATATAATTACCTCAGGCTCAAAATCCCATTATACATAAAATAGGATTTGGCCTATTTGGGTGAACATAGACCACATTTTTAGTTGGATAAATAGTACATCCACATTAGTGGACAATAGCATTTCATCATTTGCGCATTTATATCAATTTAATTTAATTTTACATATGTAGTCATTTATAGTTTTGTGGGAGCTGTAGTCATTTTTATTCATTTTGTTTCTCCTATGAGTTTATTGCTACTACTTTGTTAACTTCAATGTGTAACATCGTAGGTCATCGAGGGACCCCATCGTTCCATTTTTTGCTCCATTTGTAAACTTTAATTCTCTATATTTTTCGATTTTGTGACTATTGCATGGATTTAATTTAAATTACCTGGATTTTATTGCAAGTCCATGTTGGGGTCCTTGTTAGTATCGAATACGTCTACATATTCGTGATTAAGGTTCATACATTTTTTGGTTTTGAAAATTTTGCTTATTTTGTAAAACGATAGTCTGATTGTGGATTGAAGTTTGTTTATTCATTTTTCATTGTAGAATATGATTACTTGATATTATTAGAATACTTGTGCATGTTGGACCTTTGTGAGATGTCATTGGTGTTGCCATTAAGATTTGTATAAACTGATCATTGTCTTGAAATTTTCTCTTACACATAAATGTCAATATCGATAGTTGTTGAATAAGCTTTAGAAATGAAATGTCATTCGTGACAGTTAACTAGTTGCAGGAATTCTTGATAGTTTGGTTACAATTTTGAACTATTTTGTCATATGAGATATTTGTTTCTACACATCTTGTTCATGTTTTAGTACTACATATACGATATTAATTTCTTTCTATAATTATTTTGGTGAATATGATAAGGGTATTCCATTTTCCCTTCTTACTAATGGTTTTCATCTGACATTTCGTATTTGTTGATGTTTTTTTTTCCAAATGAACTTTCAATTCATTCTGGCTAAAATGATCAATTGCATTTACATGTATTGCAAAGCAGCAAAGTGAAGTACCTCAAAACTGTAGTTGACTAGCTCAACGAAGGTGAGAAAATAGATTTAAATAACTTTTGTATGGGTTTTCTTACACATTTGTCGAATCTTCAGTTCTCTGCACAGCTCATTCAACAGCTTGTGTTTAGAATGACCAGAAATCCAAAGAGGAATGAATTATGGTTCAACATACAATGGCACCTCAGTTGATTCAAATTGAAAGAGTATGCATTGCTAATTGGCCCAAATAGCGGTCTCATACATATGAGCAACGAATACAATAAGTCACGATGAAGACATGACCAAAGGATAAATAGTTTAAAATAAGCGATTGGGTTACATGCACTCAATTGG